AGAGGCCCTCTTTCTCTTGTTCATTTCTGCTCTATCTTCTGCAGCTCAGAACAATGTCCTTTATGACCCCTGCAACTGTGCAGTGTGGATCTAGATAATGGGTCGGCACAGCTATGGGGGGGGGGGGAGGCGTGCTGGTGCCCAGGAGGCTCATCTCCTCTGTGCTAGGGGGTGTGGCACAGCAACCTGGAAGCCTCCTCTGCGCTGGGAGCTATGGTTCCTTGACCTGGAAGCCTCCTCTGTGGGGGGGGGGGGAGGCGTGCAGGCGTGAGTTGGCCAACCGAAGTCCCGTCAGGGCCAGAGGTAACAGGGAGGGTGGTCTTTTAAGCTGCCACCAGAATGCACATTTACACTGATAAGGAACTGTGGTATCTTTCGGAGAAGCAGGGTAATGGTAAGCAGTTTTCACTTATAACCCTGTGCAGAACCCTGAGCGATCAGGTACAAAATAAACATGTGGCTGGAAAATTCTGGATGGTCACCAATTCATACATAAACTTTTCCTCTAGAACACGGTTGGCAGATACACAGCAAGGATTACAACTCTAAACATAAAACCTTTCTGCTCCAACACAAGCAGAAGGGTATGTGCTGCTGCAACCCAGCTTGAAACGCTGCTATTGAGTCAGAAATGGCCACGGCTGGAGGGACTTTGGGAATGCAAGAAAGACACTTTCAGCACTGAACAGATGACATGGTATTAGGCAAAAATGAATGAAACAGTCTCTTTGCCTTCAAAAGTTCCCACCCTAAACAATTAATTACAATAGAAGTGATAAGTGCTGCACTGGAGATTGCATACCAATGCCAACAAGCCTAAATAAGTGAGTAACAACGCTTATCAATGGCTTCCAATGCATCAAGTCTCCATTCCAAGAGCCTCCCAAATCCTCAGGGTGATGCCATCACCACTCTCCTTTTCCAGGGAGGAGACCTAGACTCAGGAACTGGAAACAACTAGCACATCCAGAAAGCAGTGTGGCCAGGATTTGAACCCAGGCAGGCTTAGCTTCAGAGTCCTTGTTTTTTTTTTTTAGTGGCAAAGTTTCACATTTACTAAAAAGATAGGGGGAGAAAAAACCCAGAAGGGTAGGAGGGAAAATGGTCTCTACAGAGCGGGCTTGGGCCAAGTAAAAGGAGGAAAAATAAAAATGCATTCTTACAATGTAGGGTGAGCTACCACAAAGAGACACAACAGCCTAAGTCCCTTCTCATGTTCATTTTCGGAAAGAGAATCTCAAGTCTGCCTCAAAAAGACTGGGAAGATCTCACAAAAGCTGCTCTGGGACTGAGTCTAGAAGGCTATTAGGACAGACAAACGCTGGGAACAAAGATACAGTGCAGTGCTGGCAAACTTACAGCACGCATGCCACAGTAGGCTATTTGTTGTTACTGAAAGCTCTAAAAGGTTGCCATCACTGATATAGTGTATCAGACCCACAGCTTGACTTTGGCTTGGTGGTGCACGCCTGTAATCCCAGCACTTGGAAGGTGAGGCAGGAAAAGCCCAGCGTGGGGAATTTAGTGACTTAGCGAGACCCTATCTCAAAATAAAAAATTTTTAAAAGGTTTGGGGGACTGGGGATTTGGCTCAGTGGTGCCACTTCCTGCCTCGAAAGCGCAAGGTCCTGAGTTCAATCCCTGGTACAAAAAAAAAAAAAAAGTTTAGGGATATAGTTCAGTGCAAAGGCCCTAGGTTCTATTCCTAGTAGTGCAAAAGAAACAAAAACACAAAATCCTCAGACACTTCAAGTTTAAGGCTGATATCTACCTCACAAGTCATTGATACATAGTACTTACTTCTTCATTAAACAGTTTAACAACCACTATTCTAAATTTTCAAAGCATTCTGGCACTAATTCATTTGATTTGGCTAAAAACTTTGTTCAATATACAGGAAAGAGCCACTGTGGTGGGCATGCTTGTAATTCCAACACTCAGGAGGCTGAAGCAGGAAGACTGTCGTTAAATTCAAGGCCAGTCTGGGTTACACAGGAAGTTCAAGGTCAGCCTGAACTACAGAGTGAGGCCCTGTCTCAAAAGAAAAAGAAAAAGAAAAAACAGGAAAGGCATAGCCTTCATGACAGAACAAAGAGTTGATGCTAGGGCCGGGGATTTAGCTCAGTGGTGCCACCACCTGCCTTGGAAGTGGAAGGTCCCAAGTTCGATCCTCGGTATCAAAAAAAAAAACCCAAAAAAGAAACAAACAAAAAAACTAAAGCTAGATCAGAATTTGGGTCTCTGACCTTTTCTTTTTTTTTCCTCCAGTGCTAGGAAGGCATGCAAGGCCAGGTACATGCTAGGCTCGAACTCTACCACTGAGCCACATACATTCCCGCCCTCCCTGGCTTTTTCTTGCTGTTCTTTATCCACTGATTTCTTTGTAGTTAACCTCCAAATCAGATGCAGTAAAAGAATAAAACCAACCTATTATTCACAAAATGAACATTATAGTATAAACAATTTTTATGACTTTTAAAAAGGCATTAACAATTCCCTCTATTCTCCAGGACCCTGAGATTGTCTCTTAATCCCCCTACTCCTTTTTTTTTTTTTTAGTACTGGAGAACTGAACTCAGGGACTTCACAATGAACTACATCCCCAGTCTTTTTGAGTTTTTTGGTTTTTGGGTTTTTTTAGACAGGGTTCACTAAGTTGCCCAGGCTAGGCTTGAAGTTGAGATCCTCTTGCCTCAGCATCCCAGAGTGCAGGAATTACAGGCATGTCCCATCAAGCCCGGCCTCTTTCACCTCATAAATGAGACAGCCAACTGTGAGAACTGTCTGGATGCTATTAAAAAATAGTTAACAGAGAGCTGGGGATTTAGTTCAGTGGTACTGTGCCTACCATGCAATTGCAAG